TAAATGCCAAGTTACCTGTAATTCCCTGTGTTAGTCTCTGAAATTTTATTTGGATGCTAAGAGAAAAAACAAATGACAAAACTTGGAGTGATTTTGAATGCCTTGCTTGTTTCATTATATCTTGCAGATCTTTTCCACATTCCTGTTCAACACTCGGAAGAAAAATTGCCTCTCTGTACAACAGCTTTACTAGTAAACCATTAAAAGAACACATTTTTCCTCCTCTGATGAATATGCTAATATTTTTAAATTTTTGTAAGTATATATCTATCATGAATTTGCCGATATATATTTTCCCAAAGAAAGAACTCACTGCCCTTAAAGTTGCCCATGTGACAATGAAAAAGGCATGTCGGCTATAAAATTGTGGCTAGACTTCAATGTCTGAAACCCATTTAACAGAGGCTTTGCGGTCTAGTGCGAATCCCTAAAGACTGTTGGGATGGAGAGAAAAACATGGCCTTGTGGGTGGGGTTTCAGTTCAGGAGCTCAGTCTTTGAATTAGCTGTTAATAGGGGTAGCTTATTGCTTGGTGTATTCTCTACTCTTTTGCTTTTTCTTTTTACCTGTATCCCTTGAAAGAGAGAGAAAATGGGGAGCTGGGGTTGGGGAGAGGCTGATGTGAGGGATCTGTTCTCCCACGTTTTTTCTACTGAGTGCTGTTAGTCAATGTAACACACAGTCCTAGCACACGGGTCATGCTCTCACTGGCTTGTCCCCAGGGGTTTGTTGATTCTGACCACTTCATGGTTTATGGCTAATTACTAGGTTTTATTTAGTGGAAAAAGTAATGCTTGACGTAGGTAGCAGAATACTCATTACTTTTTTCTAGACCCTCTTACCTTTTTACGGGAGTGGTCTCCTTTGTTTTTAGCTTGAGACAAGGATAAGGACTGAACAAAACCCTATGATGACCTGTCACACCAGTGCTATTTTAAAATCTAGCTTTAGGGGTTTTTGTTTTGGCAACTTTCCTGTGGGCTGGTCCTCGTTTATAAAATAAAATACTTCGCTGGGAATTTAGTGTGGAAGCTTGCAACTTAGAAACCATGTTAACCAGGAGACTAATTACTTTTTTTGATTGTGATTAAAAGACATGGAATTTGACTTTGGGCATTGATAATTAATTCTACTTTCTAGTCAAAGCACCATTTCTTGTGGATTTAAAGAAACCGGAGTTAAAGATCCCTCACACGGTGAACTTGTATATCAGAGTTGAACCTGGGGTGATTCTGGGAATCTGGTGAGTGCACTGATGGACACCGGGACTCTTCTGCCGTGTTGCACACCAGCCTTCCTGCACTATTGCAGAACGGCCAGCCTCCTGGCACCGCAAGTCACGCTCTCGCAGGACATGCTCTGTCTGCAACACTTGTAGGTCTTGGTCTCTGCCCCCTCCTCTCGCCTAACTACCTGCCTACTCGTCTTTAGGGTCTCAGTTGCCAATGGTAGTGCGGTAATTTTCAGAGAAGCCCTTCCTCAGCTCCCATTTTAGGCACAGGTGGCAACCTGTGCTTGTCCTTTATGGCATTTCCCCCACTGTAGTTAAATCAATGTTTGTGTGATTATTTGGTTAATGTTTGTCTTCTCTACAAGACTATAACTTTTGTAGGTGACTTTGTTGGTGGGCATTCTTTAAAAAAAATTTTTTAAAAGATTTTATCCATTCATTTGAGAGAGAGAGAGAGTGAGAGAGAGAGAGAACACGAGGGGGGGAGGGGCAGAAGGAGAAGCAGCCTCCTCGCTGAGCAGGGAGCCCAATATGGGACTTGATCCCAGGACCCAGAGATCATGACCTGAGCCAGAGGCAGATGCTTAACTGACTGAGCCACCCAGGCGTCCCCTTTTTTCTTTTCTTTTCTTTCCTTTCCTTCCCTTTCCTTTTTTCTTTCTTGCTTCCTTCCTTCCTTCCTTTCTTTCGTTTGTTAGTGGGTTTTCATTGCTTAGCACAGTGCTTGGTACAGCACAGAAAAGACAGTCAATTGTCAAAATCGTGAGCTATTGTCTTTTTTGCTATGCTACTGTCAACATTTTTTTCTGTTTGGTTCTACTTCTTGTTCTTGGCTGCCAATTTCCCAGTGTCCTGTTTTATATTTCCTCTCCCTGACTTTAAACATGTGATCATAGAATGTTTAGGAACCAATATGAGTTCACATAACTTCTTCCTAATCTGCACAGTACAATTCAGCTAACAGTGTTGGAATTTGAAAATCTTTTTATTCGTTGCTCTTGCCCTGGCTTATCTAGCTGGCAAGGATGCCAGTCCTCTCAGTCCAGAGGCCCTGGGCTTTGATGTCAGACTTTCTGCCCCTAAAGGGTTGAGAAGCCTGAAGATTTATTATTATGTGGCCAGTTCTCCAAGTCTCCTTGTGACATGTCATATGGAAGTGTTTGTATCTTCAGGGCGCACTCACTGGTTTAACAGGTGGAGGGACTGGAGCTTGGGCAGGTGTTTAACTCCACAAGGTCACTGGTTTCTTGAGTAGAATAGCTTAGGTTCATATTTAAGTTTTTTTCTCCCATCTAAACTGCTCTCTCTTTAAATTCTTTCAATTTGTTTCTTCAGCTAAACCAATAGCAGGTGGCAAATACCTATTGCCTTTTACTTGTTTCCATCCAACGGACTGCATTTCAATGGACTGCACCTAAGAATTGCAGTCCTGGAAGATTAGTGGATGTAGGAGTCAGAAGGACTAGAACAGTCAGTGGTTAAAAGGGATTGTTTCTGTGCATGGGGGAGGGGGGTAGAGAAGTAGTGCTTGTCACTGTAAGATGTTTGTGGTATTATACTTTAATTTTTACCACGTGCATATATTACTCAGATAGAAATTTATATATATATATACACACACACATACATATAAATATGTAATGGATATTTATACATATATAAACCTATAAATATACGTCTTTGACCTGAGGAGGGTTTCAGACTTTGGCAAGGAAAGTGAATTCTCTCTGTACGTTTGTTAAAATGTTTCCTTGCTCTTCAGGCACACGGTTCCCAGCTGCCGGGGGGAAGATGCTAAAGAGAAGGACCATGGCTGGTATGAAGCAGCCCTTCATGACGGCAACCCAATTATTGTTTATCTTCACGGCAGCGCAGAACACAGGTCAGTGCCTTCGCTTGGATTTTTCTGTTGTTGTTTAAAAAGAGAGGGAGCCTTTCAGCCTGGGGTGGGGGGCGGGGGCGGGGGAAGGAAAGGCAGAGCTTTCCAGAGTTTTCGACTCTGTAAGTGTGCCTTCACATATATATTTTTTTCCTTTGTTGAAATTTGAGGGTGTTCCGGCAATAGGCTTCTCTTAAAAAAAATTCTATATATTCTGTATGTAGACTCATGTGGATCTTTAACTGAAAGGGAGACAAACTTCCAAAATTTGGTTATTGATTTCCAAGAAGTCAGTGGTTCCTTTACTCCCAAAGAGTGCCTGAAATGCTGAACTGAGCCCATGGATGACAGGAAAGGGGACAGGCCTGAGATATGGGGAGAAGGAAGAGCAATTTCCTTATCGGTGGTCCTCTCACAGAAGTACGTGGGGATTCCTTGATTTAGCATGAGTCCTACTAATCAAATGTATGGACTCCTTATGAGAGATCATCTGGAAGTCTGACCGTCCTTACTGGGGACCATCTGAGTGATTCTACTCTAGAAACCGGATGCCTCAGCCCACTCTCTGTTGTCCAACCTTGCTTTGCCACAAAGAATGCCTCCCTGAAATCCTGAGCCCCTTTGATGTGCTGCCAGGGGTTCCCAGTGGGCCTGTCGTTAGGGTGGGTGATGATCATCAGCTGAGACTGCAGCGCTTCGGGCTGGGGAAGGGGCGCTGTGCCTCAGGGACCCACAGATTCAGCTCTGTGTCTGGAGGGACGTTGCAAACTAAGTGACGAGCTCTGGAATCTGCCCCTTGGCTCCCTTGCCTATGTCTCTTTTCCTCACTGTCTTTTTCTGTGTTGATGGCTTTCTCAAGGCTTGCCTTTGCACTAGGGGCTTTCTGAAGGTGTCCATTTTAGAGTGACAATGATGGAGATTCCCCATGAAATTCAACCTTTTTCAACATTGTTGAACATTGTTCTGATTGTGCAAACTTGGGCATGGTGTTACAGTGTATGTATTTAAAGGATCATTCGGCCCACCCATTCATGTCTGTCCCCCTTTGTGGATCTGCTATGACCCCAGATTTACTGGCTCTGGGGTCAGCCCCAGCTTCCTCCTGTCCCCTGCCAAAACTCTTAGCTGGCTATCAGCAGTATTGAGCCAAAAGGAGGCCAAATGGGAGGTTATAGGAGCCTTGTTGAGAACAGTGCTTCCAGACTTGGGACCCAGAGAAACCCCAGAGGGTCCATGAACCTCCTACCAAAATTGTACTAAAAATGTCAAGTGTGGATACATTTATCTGGGAAATGGGTCCATAGCTTTAATCATATGTTCGAAGGGCTTCATGACCCACTAAAGCTTAAGACACTTGGCTCTAAGACAAAATTCAAATGGTTTTCAAAAGAATCCTCTGCCTTTTCAATCATCCTTGTCTCTCCTTTATTAGCATGGTTAATAGAGAGTAGATGATATGGTTATTTTGGGAAAAAGCCTTTCTTGTACCTCCAGTACTGTGAGTTTCCCTCACTTCATCTTGTATTTAATGGCAGAGTGAACCGGGTACAGGCAGGTCTTGGTTTAGTGAACATGACTGTATCATCCTTTGTTCTGAAAAAACACTTTCTGGAGCTGATTTTCCTTTAGCTTCTAAAAGTATTCTTAGAAATTAGTTTTGCTGTGTAGCAGTGAGAGGAGGTGGATTATCAGTAATTCATCACATGCCTCTGTTGAGAAGCACTAACCATCTGGGCATCCAGAGCTCATGCAGAGGAATGCAAGAGCAGTGGGGAGCCATCCATCACTCCCCCTGACACATCCAAGCGGGCTATGACACCAAAAACCATTTCCCTTTCTCCCAGTTATTTATTTCTCTAACCTGAAAAACAAAGCCATGAGATCAGATGCTAGAAGCATGATAGTGATTTTTATTGAATTTGTCATTGTAATTCCTAATTCTTGCTCTTTGTTTTAACCTCTTCCACAGGGCAGCTCCTCACAGACTTGAGCTAGTAAAGGTATGTCTGAAGGGGCCTCAAGGTACCAGTTTTATGTCTCTGTTTTTTCTCTTCTGGGCTACAGCCCTAGATCTTCCTCAGCCCTCAGCATGGGTATCTACTGAGAGCTCCCAAGGGTGGGTTTGGCGTCTGGGACTCAAAGTCCCACACGTGGATTTCTCTTCCTGCAGTGACCACAGGGCTTCAAAACAGAAGCGAACATGCCTGACTCCCAAAACATTTTCATAAATACATTGCCTTCATCACCAGGTGGAGTTCAAGACCCTCTTTATCCGCTTTTTCTGAGGGCTGGGGGGGAAAGGTTGTGAGGGTATATTAAATGTGAAAGTTACTCCCGTGAGAAACAGCCTTTTCTTGTGGTAGAGGATAAATACATAGAACGTCTGCTGTTAGAGTCCTTCAGGCTCTGGCTTCAGCCCCACAGAAAGTTTTGCGTGTGGGATGGCGGCCACACTCCCCTTCTCGCCAGCCTGCTACAGGACTGCAGTTTGCTGGGGCGGCCCCTGCGTGGACGGGAGATGCAGCCGCGGCTGACTCACAGCTGGTAGGGCAGCTGTCTGTCTTCTCCCACACCCCAGTTTGGTAATCTCTCCCTCAGGTGACCAGGCTGCTTGTCCAATTTTTGACCACAGGACCTGCTGTCGCCTCCCACAGACCAGCTCCCACCTCAGAGCCCTTCCCTGGTGTAACAGCCTGAGTGGGGCCCCGCACCCTGCCAGGCCCAGGAGGGCCAGCACCTCCTTCGTCCTCCCTCCCTTGTTCAGACAGGAAGCCCCTCTCCAGTCGGCTCCTCCCTTTCCTCACGGCCTTCTCGGAGCCGACTCTGGTGGGTGGTGGGCTGGATGCTGTTCTGCCTGGGATGATAATGTCTATTAATTTTTAGGTTTGCTTTCCACCCTGCTCCTCACTCTCTGCACTTCCTACGTGGGATGGTGGTGAGGCTGATGTCCGTGAGAACATGCGTTTTTGTTTTGTTTTTTTCCTCTCCCACCCTCGGCAAAGCTGAATTATAGCCCCTGTGTGCACAGAAAGGAAAAGAATCATAGGTGTAGGTGTGAAAAGGAGCCAGGTCATCCTTGTGGTAGTTGGCATGGGAAGGGCAGGTATGATAAGGCTTCTTCCTCCAGGCAGATTCTGGATACGTGCCATAGTCATCATCTCGCAGCCTGACCGGACTTCCTCAGGCCTTTGTTCTCTTCTTTGGAGGGGTGATTTCCCTTAAAAACTAAGTCTTTGCTATTACGTTGTCCTTCCTCCCCTTCTTCTTTCCTTTCTTCCTCCACATCCTCTCTGTTTCTCGTTCATTCCATTTATTCATCACTTCAGTCGTCCAGTACAGCTGTTTTCATTAATTTGCAATCCCACCTTGTCGTCTTTATTTATGTAAAGTTTTTATGTGATTATGATTATATCTATATGTAATTTTATGTTGTTGTTCTTTTACTTAATGCTATGTTATGTACATACTATGTTGTAAACATTCTTCCATGGTTTTCCGTAGTTACCATAGTTACAGATTTAAAAGGTGATCCTTCTCCATTATATTTGTAGACAATTGTTTATTTAACTATTCCACTGTTGCTAGATACAAGTCCCCCCACCCCCAAAATAATTTCAATAATGTTGCTAGAGAAAACCTGAAGCATTGAGTTTATTCTTTTTTTGGACTTTTTCCCTAGAGATAAATTCTTAGGAGTCAGATCTGTTCTCGGGTTGTTTCACCAAGTGGTCCTTCTGTCCACAGCACCACAAACGATGCACAGACATTCCCACCTCCCGGGGTGCTTAACTATTCTGTGTCCTGGATCACTGTTTTGGAGGCAGTGTCGTTTAAATAGATATTAAAAAGTTTCCTTTAGTTCCTCAGTATTAGTTGAATTTGTATTGAAAGATTTCTGGTGAGACTCAGCTCCCCACGTCCGTGCTGTGGCAGGGGGAGCGCGGTGTTCAGACAGAAACAGACCCACGGGTGAGTCTTGGTTCTCCCTCTAGCTATCTGGGTGACCACGAACGAGTTACTTAAACCCTCAGGACTCAATTTCTCTATCTATAAAACGGGGATAATACCTACCTTTAGGGACTATTGTGAGGATTAAATAAAGTTTTAAAGGTATCTGCACAGTGCATTTTTGTCCCCTTTTCTCTCTTCGTCTGTCATTGTAATTCACTTGGTTTGAAATGATGCTGTCGTATTCCTTCCTTATTTATCCACATGGGGCGTGGCAGTGGTTTCATATAATTGAGTGATCTCTTTTTGATTGATATTAACTCTTTATCTGTCCACATTTAGTATAAATATCTTCCCATTATTTGACTGCCTCTACTACAACTCTGTGTAGACCTTCTGTTCTCAAGGGAATTCTTAAAATGGACATTGACTTTGTACCAAGGTACTTCAGTACTTTCATCTCATGTCACCTTCCAACAGTCCTGAAGGTGCTACTATTGTTTTTCACTTTTCAGAATCCTGTTTACATCTGAATAGTCAGATGTTGGGTGGCTCAAGGTCACACAGCCAGGGTGTGGCCAGGCTCTCTGACCTGCTCTGCGTCCTGCCTCCCTTCTTTCCCCTTGAGTCTGACCTTCTCGTGTTTGAGGTCAAACAGCAGATTCCATCTATTGCCTGCGTAGGAAACCATCACAATGAGGATTATGCAAGTGTTGAGGAGGTTACACCACCTTTTCGGTTTACAATTAAGACGATAACCTCTCCTTTGTCATCTAGGTGCTGAGCGATGGTGGCTTTCATGTTCTGTCTGTGGACTACAGAGGTATGTTAAGAGCAGTAGGTAAAGACTTTTCAGTAAGCAGGAGGGCTCTTGATGGCCCTCATTTTGGAGGTAGTGATGCTGTGCCCGCCTTTCCTTACCACCAGGGTACGGGGACTCCACGGGTGAGCCCACGGAGGAGGGGCTGACCACAGATGCTGTTTGTGTCTATGAGTGGACCAAGGCGAGAAGCGGCACCACGCCTGTGTGTCTCTGGGGCCACTCTCTGGGTACAGGGTAAGTGGAGTCTGAAGATGGCTTCTTGGGGGAGGGCAGCGCTTGGGGCTTTAGGGTCATCAGAGGCAGTGATGAGCGGAGGAGGGAACACTGAGCTAGGAGGCGGAGCTCTGGTTTCCCTCACATCCCACATGTGGTTAGAGCCGGTGCCATCTCAGCGAGCCGGTCGTAATGCAAGGGAGGGTGAGGGTGTAGCTCTGTGGTTATCTAGGACACTGAAGCCCATTCCAATACTCCTTGAGAGTATTAAAGGAAAGGATTCTTGATTTGGGGCCAGTGGAACCCCTTGAAGTCCTATGCAAAGTTGTACGTCTGGTCCTACCAGAGGGCCCCAGCGCTTTCATCAGATGCTCATATCAGATGTTGCATTTTGTACTGTTTACCTGTTAAGTCCCTGCTTTACATATGTACTAATTTTCATTGCTTTACAGAGTTGCAACAAATGCTGCAAAAGCACTAGAAGAGAAAGGTACTGTAAAATGCCTCCGTGTGGCATGTCTTGGCTCGCGGTGGGGAAGTAAAGAGAGCCTGCGGACCGTTGTGCACACTCTGAACACAGAGATACCTAAGGCCCCCTGACCTCAGACAGCCTCTGATCGTGTAATAAACTTTCTTTTTTCTGTTTAATATAAAACAACAGTTGCCTTTCAAGGCCACGAAGTTAAAAATAAATACTCAGGAAGAGTTAAAATTCCCCTTGAAAAAGCCCTTCTCGTGAAGTAAATGTTCCTGCGGAGTAATTTGGATTATGGCAGAGGAAAACATCCTTTATGAAGTAACAAGCAGGACTTGCTTTCAGCCGCCCGTCTTCCATGACATTTATGTCCGTGTTTCCCAAAGTGTTCTGAGCGTTGCCTGTCTCAGGTTCCCTAGAGGTGCTTGTTATATACACAGGTTTCCTGGATCCTAGCTGTTTTCATGAATTAGCATCTCTGTGAATAGGACAAGGTGATAGTGATGTACATGAAAAGCTTGTCATCTCTTGAGTTGTATCTTAAGCTTGTCAATACTGGTCAGGGTGAGTTATGTGAACATGTTAAAGCAAGTCACATGCTATCCACAGTCTTAATTAATTATGGAAATAAAGCAGACATTATTTCTTGCTCCTCTAAGCTCTCATAGCTCTCTGTGCACACTTCCTGCACAGTGTTGACAAGTATTATTTGACCTAAATTCCCACATAAATGAGTACTTCACTTCTTGGATAATGCATTGACCTTAGGACACTTTAATTCCATTTACATCCCTGACTTTGAACTCTTGCTATCATGTATTTTAATTTTCTCTATATTATATACTCCATAAAACATTATTGCTCTTATATTATAAAGTCAATATCTAGATTTACCCTTTTCTTTGCTTTTTATTACTTCTTGCATTTCTGTGCTTCCATTTGGGATATTTGTTCTGCCTATCTGTGGTGAAGAATTTCCTCAGTTTTGGCCTGAAAATATCTTTTTTTTTTTTTTTAAACAGTTTGGCAATTTCTTTTTTTTTTAAAGATTTTATTTATTTATTTGACAGAGAGAGACACAGCGAGAGAGGGAACACAAGCAGGGGGAGTGGGAGAGGGAGAAGCTGGCTTTCCGCTGAGCAGAGAGCCCGACGCGGGGCTCGATCCCAGGACTCTGGGATCATGACCTGAGCCGAAGGCAGACGCTTAACGACTGAGCCACCCAGGCGCCCCGGCCTGAAAATATCTTTATTTTACGTTCGTTTTTGAAGGATATTTTCATTGGGCATAGAATTCTTGGTTGGTAGTTATTTTCTTTCAACACTTTGAAGACGTTGTTCATTTTGTTCTGGCTTTCACTGTTCCATTGGGAAGTCAGCTTCCAGTCGTCCTGCTGCTCCTTTGAAGATAATTACTTTTTCTTCTGGCTATTTTTGAGATTTTCTTTTTGTCTTTGTTTTTCAGCATTTTTACTGTGATTTTCCTAGGTGTGGCTTTCTTAGTAGTTATCCTGCTTGGGGTTCATAGTACCATAATAACTCTAGCTTGATATTCATGCATCTTGGAAAATTGGTCATTTACCTTCAAATATTGTGCCTACCCCATTTTTCATCTTCTCTCCCCCAGGACTATAATTATATGTATTTTTTTTAGGTCTGTTCCCATGTCCTGTATGTCTCCAATGTTGTTTCCTGGGTTTTCCAGACATTTTTCTCCTTGTGCTTTAGTTTAAATATTTTCTTTTGACATATTACACAGTTCACTACGTAATATCAAATTTTATTAAATATTAAAATTTTAACAAGTATTTTACTATAGTACAATTGATTATTTACAAGTTATTTTAAAGTCCATATAGAATAATGCCAATATCTAGATCTTTGTTGATCTATTTCCAATCATGTGCATAGAAATCTCTTGGGGTGGGGGTGCCCATTAAAAATGCACTCCCCCCCGCCCCTGAGATTCTGACTGATTCAAGTCTAGTGTGGAGTCCAGGAATTTGCATTATTAACAAGCTTCACAAATAACTTTGGTTCAGGTAGTTCATGTACAGGACCTTGAGGACTCCTTATTTAGGAAAGGTAGTATTTAAATATGATAGCCGAGTTATTTCTTTTTTATTATTTTCAAGGATTCCCAGTTGACGCTATTATCCTGGAGGCTCCATTTACCAACATATGGGTTGCAAGTATTAATTATCCCTTGTTAAAGGTGAGTCTCTGAATCATCTTCATAAGATGTGAAAGTGTAGGCTGTTTCCACACACTTATGCTTATTAACCGTTTTCCTTTTCTTAACCAGTATTATATGTTTCTAAGTTATTCTAACCTGAGACAGGTCATTAGCCAGTTGCTATTGAAGAAGGGCACGATGGCTTTTGGATTTTGTAGTTCTTTTATTTCTTCTAATAGGTTGAGATAGTGGCTTATTAAGAGCCAGAGCTTTTTTCCCCCCTCTTCCTTTAACTGTAACTTTTATCATGTACTTTTAAAAATAGACTTGATTTAGTTTATTATTTTTCCCTTTTAAAGTGAAAACATGCCTCTCATACATCCTTTTTAACCCTATGATTATAAGCCATATATTTATCATTATTTTATGTTAAAAAAAAGGCTTTAGAGAATTCAAGGAAGCTGCCAAAGGGTTTTACACAGTATCCCAAGTAGAGAAGACAATCTTTCCAAGAAGATAAAGTTTAAAGAATTGGGCAACAAGATCTAGTTTTTTTTATCTGTTGTGCAGATTATCATAATTTCATCCCATGCCTAATGCTCAACTGCTTATAGACATACCATCATATAAATGTTAGCCAGTGAGCCAGAGAAAGAGATAGGATTCTCAGAGGGGATACACGACCCAAAATTTTAAATTGTTGATTAACGTTAGAAGGTATTTTAAGGGTACTTTAATACAACTGCCTACTTTGAGAATCTTTTTTTTTTAAATAATAAATCATCACAAAACTTTCTGAATTTGCTTAACTATTTCAGGAGAAGGTAGCTCATCACTTCCCAGGACAGCTAATTCACAGAACCACATAATCTAGAATAATGCCGTACTATAAACTCCATCTCAATACAGAAATCCCCTCAACAATAGAAAATACTGAGTGCTGAGTAATTTGAGATAATGAAACACTTTCAGTTGGTTTTAGACAATTAAGTATTCATTTTAAGATAGCCACTAATTGAGCATCTATTGTATTACTCTAAGTAATTACTAATAAATTCACTAACTTGTAGGAATAAATCAGGTACAATCCATGTACTTTTGTTCTAATTTTGAAATTTAACATAATAGGAAAATATATGACTTAACAAATAATTATGAACTGCACATCCATGTAACTAACATTTAAGTCCAGAAATTAGCATCACTAGCCCCCTAGAAGTCTCCTGCATGTCACTTCCCAATTCCAATAAGCCTCACCTTAGATGTAATCCTTAGACTGAGTTTTATGGTAATCATATCCATGCTTTCCTTTATAGTGTTACCATCCATGTGTGCATCTCTAAGCAATATAATTTTGTTTTTGAACTTTATATAATTAGTAGAATTATATAGGGTATATTCTATGTTTTTCAACCAACATATATTTGTGGGATTTTACACAAGAGGTATAGTTGTAGTTTGATCATTTTCATTGCTATATAGTATTTCATTGTATAAATATACAACAATTTATTGACCTATTGTTTATGGACATTTGAGTTGCCTTCCATTTGGGGTAATTAATAACACTGCTGTTATGAATGCTCTTGAACATGTATCCTGCAAACATGGTACATATTTCACGGGAGTATACCCTAGGAATGGAACTGCTGCATAGTAAGCTATGCATATGTTTAGCTTTAGTGATTAGAGTGCCTAACAGTTTTCCAAAGTGATTTAACCATTTTACTCTCCCACCTGTTGTGTATGAGAGTTCCAATTGCTTCACATCCTTACCCTCGTATGGATATCTCATTGTGGTTTCAATTTGTATTTCCCTTATGACTAATGAAGCTGGGCATTTTTTTCATGTTTATTAGTCATTTAGATATCTCTTGTGAGATACCTGTTCATGCTTTTGTCTTTTTTTATTTGTAGTTTTTCATAGGATGAGTCATTGGAAAACTATTTGTATTGCAAGTGTATTCTTTCATTTTGCCTTTTACTCCCTTAATGATATCTTATGATGAAGAACTAGTCCTAGATTTAATGTGGGCCAGTTTATCAATTATTTTTTCATGGTTAATATTTTTAAGAAAAGTGTCCTGTTTAATAAAACTCTGGGTACCAAAGATTATGAAGATACCCTTCTATGCTATCTTACAGAAATTGTTTTATCTTTTACATTTAGAGCTATAACCTACAGGTATGGATTTTTGTATGTAGGAGGTAGAAGTCCATATGGATATGCAGTTTTGGTCTAGTACCATTTACTAAACAAACCTTCCCTACCAATTCTGCAGTGCTAGTGTTTGAATATATCAGGGCTTAATGTATATGGGTCTGTTAGTAGATTCCCATTTCTTTCCCTTATCTATCTGTCCATTCTCATATGAATACTGCATCTCCTAATTACTATAGCTTTTTTTTTTAAAAGAGACATTGAGGCTGAATGGAGGGAGGGGCAGAGGGAGAGGGAGCCAGAGAGAGAGAGAGAGAGAGAGAGAGAATCCCAAGTAGGCTCCACACTCAGTGTGCAGCCCAAAGCGGGATTCCATCTCACTACCCAGAGATCACAACTTGAGCTGAAATCAAGAGTCAGATGCTCAACCGACTGAGCCACCCAGGCGCCCCTAATTACTGTAGCTTTATAATGTTTTTATATCTGTCTGTGTAAGTTCTTCAGCTTTGTTCTTCTTATTCAAGATTTGTCTTGACTATTCTTGATCTTTTGTATTTTGATGTATATTTTGGTATATACTCATCAATTTCTATAAAAAACTTCCCAGGATTTTGATTGGAATTGCATTAGGTCTATATATAATTTGGGGAAATTGATACCTTTTTAATATTGAATCTTCCAATTTATGAACATGGTATTTATAAGTTTATTTTGATTGATTAAGGTTTTCTTAATTTTAGTTTTAGGTCAGTTTCCCTTTTTTTTTTTTTTAAAGATTTTATTTATTTATTTGACAGAGAGAGAGGCACAGCGAGAGAGGGAACACAAGCAGGGGGAGTGGGAGAGGGAGAAGCAGGCTTCCCGCCGAGCAGGGAGCCTGATGCGGGGCTCGATCCCAGGACCCTGAGACCACGACCCGAGCCGAAGGCAGACGCCTAACGACTGAGCCACCCAGGCGCCCCTAGGTCAGGTTCTCCTATAAGCAGAGCCCATGGCAAGGACTTGATGTGCATGATTTACTGAGAGAGTGCTCTAAAGGCAAAACCTGCAAGGTCATTTGAATGAGGGTTGTAGGATAGGGATGGGGAAAGAGCAGAACAAGATGTGACTTCTGGTAAAGTGTAGCTTTGGCCTAATCCACA